AAAGATCCATATAGAAGGGCCACTTAGGTCGGAAGCTTTGAAGTTTCTGTCCTCGCGCATGTCGCATTACGAATGTTGGCCGCCATTTTCTTAGCCAGTCAATGACATTTTCTGGCCAATAAACACGCTGTAAGTGCTGTACTGGCTGGCTGCTTCGACTTCTGGCCAGTAAACTGCATATTTTTTCATAAAAAACGCGGACACGTTGCACCGCTGAGTGGTCCTTCTGTTACTGATCTTTATTCTGTGGTTTAGTAACGCCTCAAAGCATGCGTTTACTTATAAAATAAATGCCCCAGTAGTTTTATAGTTAAAATATGCCTTGCCGGAAATTGAGAGTAATTAATTTTATACATGCACACGGCCCAGTATGATTAACAAGTAATCGCATAGTTTCTCGTTAAAGTAAGGTGTAATTTCAATTGTCTTTTCAAACTTTCACAATTTGTGAAACTTTGAAAACACGTGGGAAATTAAACCTCAATTTTACTTGGCCCCATGGAATTACAATATATATATATATATATATATATATATATATATATATATATATATATATATATATATATATATATATATATATATATATATATATATATATATATATATATATATATACAGGGTGTCTCAAAAAAAACCAAAATCATTGAAATAACGTATTGTTCGAATTTCAATGCCGTAACACAAAGGATTTTGACAGGGTGATTAATTTGTTTTAAAAAATTAAAATATCTTTGTAAAGTGAACGTTTGTTTGCTCATGGGAATTAAAAAATGCTTCGTAAATTGTAATATGCGTAATATGCATTCGTGGGTTTAGTACTTTATGCCTGACATAACAAGTTTACGCTGAGTATTACCATTCATTATAGCAGTTATGTCAATCTTTTATGCACTCGTGGGATTAACTTAGTGCTAGGGCATTGAATATCGAACAATACGTCAATTTCACTGATTTTGGGTTTTTTTGAGACACCCTGTATACAGTGTGATACACAAATAAGTGTTACGTGTCTGTTCTGGCTGCCCCTACTCGAAAAGCGGGGTAGTCGGAACAGTTCAGAACAGTCATGCATCTGAATCTCTTCTGTTCCATTCCATTATATAGTGTTCCGAAAATCCGGAGTACTCCGAACAGTAAATGGAGCAGCTTAATTGCTGGATAATAGAATGCTCTATAAACCGTGCTCTATAAACCATGCTCTCAATGCTCTATAAACCATGCTCTGTAAACCATGCTCTGTAAATCATGCTCTGTAAACCATGCTCTATAAACCAATCCAAAAAGAAACAACTTTAGAAATTGATCAAATGCCATAACGTCAGTTTCCTTGATAGTTTGCTGCACGGATACTGGATCATCATTTCTTGTAGCCAATATTAATGCAATATAGAAAGACACTTTTGGCAATAAATGTCGTTTGTCCCATTCAAAAGCTTAGAACTCTTAAAATTATATATTAAACTCTATTACCGATTTGTCATATCTTCCTTAATTTTTCCTTCTTTCCTACCTTCCTAGTTCGAAATAATGAGCTGTCGTCCACTATCTTGGACTAATTCTTGACCTCTTAACTTCATTAACTATGGTTTTAATGACGTCAGGAGTTGGGTTAACCATATAAAACTACTCTAAAATAACCGAGTAACAGCCCAAGATTGTTTAAAATGTTTTTAATCTTTTCTAAATTTCAACCAGCAACCAGAAATGAAGTTTTGGATCCATATTTATCGCTTACTCTCAAGATAACAAATGAGCATGACCCCTCTCTTGACGTACGTAACATGCATTTTCTCAACAATCCAAGATGGCAAATCACTTTTAAGTCGAAATATTTTGCAAACTAAGCAAAATATAAACAATCGGTAATAAAGTTTAATATTTAGTTATGCATAAGGTCTATTGGGTGTGATCTTCGCAACGAAGTTCGAAAGTTCATTTCAATGTTTGAACTTCTAGTGTTCAAGTTGAAAAATTAATGAACAATTCAATAAAAAGTTCTTTATCCAATGGTCTCCAAAGAGAATTGATAATTGGATATTATTATTGAGCTATGAACTTTGTTTACAAACAAAGTTCAAACATTGAAATGTACTTGCAAAAGTCATTGCGAAGTTCGAGCCCAATTTTTGAAGTTGGAAACGTAATTGGTAAGTCCGCAACAAACTTGGGATCCGCACGTTGAAAAGTGACTTGAAATCAACAATACCTATCAATTTAAACTCTGTTAAGCCTGGCAGTAGATAAAAATGTTTTCAATTTCTTGGTTCATAACAAAATTGGAAAATTCACAGAGACAAGCCAATTTATTATCTACCAAGACCCAAGTGTCAAAGTTCAATATTTTTCCAACTCACTGAACAACAGCACGTCATGCAAGACATGAAATTCAACTGTCTCCTAGTAACAACTCTGAGCAGTGGATAAATTACTTTTGTCCACTGGTGAACAATAAAATTGTTAGGTGTGGAGCGAAAATTATACTCAGCAGGGCTGCAAATAAATATTTGACATGACAGGACATTTGTCTGATCACTTTTAATTTTGGTCAGACATAACCTGAATTTGGACGGACAAAAACCAACACCACTAAATTTGGTCGGACATATATACGTATATATATATAAGTCACAAAACAAGTATGTATAGCCATTCCGGCTATACATAACGTTAAGTAAAATGCTAGAATGCCTCGTAAATTTTATTGCAAAATGCAAATTGAGTAACTTTGCAATCGTATTTTGTCACAGCAAAAAAATGTATAATGTGACAACTTCTTTTTGTGATCTGACCAGTGTCCGATCAAAATTACTTTTGCTCAGACATTTGCCAAATTTAGTCGGACATTGTCCAATGTCCGACAGTAATTTGCAGCCCTGTTCAGTTTGTTTTCTTTCACATTTAGCATGTAATAAAACATTGAATGACTAGGACCTTTGGGAAAATGAAATGGTATGTTTTATGGACCAGTAGAGACCTCCAATGTTTTCTAAGGCCAATCTGAGGTTAATTATTTAATGTGTACAATGTTACACATGACAAAAATATACCCCGCCTTTACTTGTACCAAATGCAATAAGTCCATACCCAATAATTGGATGCCATACAACTGCACTGGCACGCAAATTCGAGAACTGCCGCTCATCAGATGTTCTTACTTTCAAGGTAGTTACTTCAGCTTGAGAATTAGTTTTCTTACATAGTTTAAAAATATATGCCACAGTCCTGTCTCCTTGGAGTGTGTTGTCATCCATACCAACTATAATGTGAGTACCAAGAGGTGAAAAGCAAGTGGAAAAAATATCACTCTCAAACGTTGTGGAGTATAAACAGTCACCAAATGTGCAATTTTCCAATGAAAATACACAGATCTTAGTTTTATATAACTTAGTGGAGTCCAATTTCATAACTAAAGCACTCAAACGTCGACCATCTGATGATATATCAGCACTTGTATTATTGGACAATAAGCAGTTACGTGCGACAACATGCATGTTTGTTTGCTTCAAATTAGGAATTTCCAAGTGTGTAAAATCCCACCATTGTAACCGGAATAAAGACATATCTCTGCTTGAAATGGGGATGCATCTTGTACCACTTTCAGTAATCACTTCTTCAGTAACATCATCTACAGTAGTTTCCATGTTTTGCATATTGATATGCACAACAGTTTGGCTGATCAATGGATTTTCTTCAACTTGGGAACATATCTCATCCTCTTCATCATCTGACATATAATTTCGTATTCCAGTTAATATATGGTGCCCAAGCGAATCAAACCTTACAAGTCGAATTTTTTCATAGCCTGATGCTGATTCCGCCATTCTAAACGGTTCTTTCTGACGCCATGACCAAAATAGTAACTGGTTGCCTGCAGCGATCAGCAGCACCATATGTGTTGGGTGAAGTGCAAGCGCTGTGACATTTTGGCAACTAAGTGCGCCGATCAATTTACCATCCCCTTTTGTTAAATCCCATATGTTTACTACACCACCAATGCAACTTGATGCTAGCAAATGAGGATTTGAAGGGTGAAAAACAACACACCAGACTGAACGAGGGTGGTCTCTTAAAATATGCAAACAGCAACCAGATTTGACCTCGCTTATCTGCACAAACTTCTTATGACTTGAGGCAACTGTCTCTCCATCAGGACTAAAAGCAAGAAAACAAGTGTGGACTGGAGATCCCAAAATCTTGCAAGAAACAGTCCGACGAGTACGAGTGGTTTGGCACACGCCATATTGTAGAATTGTGTGCTGTTGTTCATACGAAAGCCGGCATTGTTGCCGCCTCAGTAAACACCATGTAATATTCGACTTACAAGCATTACTCCGCGACTTCCAAGGACACATTTTATCAAATAAGTTCCTATGCTCTATGATATGTTCCGACAAACATACACGAAATTAGCTAGTCCAGGTCACGTGCGCATCTTAACAAAAGCACAAAAAACTACACAGAAGTAGGAGGTTGGACCACGGAAATATATGTTCAATTTAATCAATCTTTTCTTCGCTCAAGTACATCAAATATTAATATATATCTAACATTTTTTGCCCCAATTGCCCGCCATACTTGAATACCCGTTCTCACCGTCCCGCGGTATAATGTACATGATACTACAAAGTACTTCATTTAAATATTAAAACAGGTAGTATTCTATCTAAATAGCAATTAAATGATGCTTAAAAGTGCTCTACAGTCCGTATGTAAACAAAGCCTTTGTTTACATTTTTGTGTCCAAAATATTGAGTTTTATTCGACAACTATTTATGTTTTCAAGCTTCTAGAGTATAATAAATGATCAAGAAACAATAATCAGGCTTTTCAAGAACCCAAAACATAGTTAATTAAACTGTTTGTATCATAAAAAGTGGGCTCCTTTGTGCACATGCGCAGATTGGACTGTAGATCACCTTTAATTATCTTAGATTAGGCTAGCCATGAAACATGTATGGCCAGTAGATAAAAATGTTTTCAATTTCTTGGTTCATAACAAAATTGGAAAATTCACAGAGACAAGCCAATTTATTATCTACCATTGAACAACAGCACATCATGCAAGTCATGAAATTCAACTGTCTCCTAGTAACAACTCTGAGCAACTTGGATGAATTACTTTTGTCCACTGGTGAACAATAAAATTGTTAGGTGTGGAGCAAAAATTATAGTCAGTTTGTTTTCTTTCACATTTAGCATGTAATAAAACATTTATTGACTAGGACCTTTGGGAAAATCAAACGGTATGTTTTAAGGACTGTAGAGGCCATAAAATATTTTCACACTGAGGTTAATTATTTAATTAATGTGTACAGTTGGTCATGTTACACATGACAAAAATATACCCCGCCTTTATTTGTACCAAATGCAATCAGTCCATACCCAATAATTGGATGCCATATTACTGCATTAGCACGCAAATCCGAGAACCGCCACTCATCAGATGCTCTTACGTTCAAGGTAACTACCTCAGCTGAAAAATTAGTGCATAGTTTAAAAATATATGCCACAGTCCTATCTACAGGATGCTCTTGGAACAATGCAAATCTGTTGTCACAAGCTATACCGACTATAATGTGAGTACCAAGAGGTGAGAAGCAAGTGGAAAAAGTATTACGCCCAAGCGTAGTGGAGTATAAACACTGACCAAGATTGTACTTTTCCAATGAAAATACACAGACATTACATAACTTAGTACCGTCATCCAATTTCACAACTAAAGCACTCAAACGTCGACCATCTGATGATATATCAGCACTTGTATTATTGGTCAATAAGCAGTTACGTGCAACAATATGCATGTTTGTTTGCTTCAAATTAGGAATTTCCAAGTGTGTAAAATCCCACCATTGTAAGCGAAATAAACAAGTACTTTGGCTTTCAGACATGGCCACTCTTGTCGTACTATGTTCAGCAATGACTTCATCAGTAACATTGTCCACAGTAGCTTCCATGTTTTGCATATTGATGTGAACAACAGTTCGGCTGGTCGATGGTTTTTCGTTGGCCGATGGAATCTTATCCATTGAGACATCATTTGGCTGCTCCACATCAAGTATTCCAGTTAATATATGGTGCCCAAGCAAATCAAACCTTACAAGTCGAATTTTTTCATCATCTGTTGCTGATTCTACCATTGCAAACGGTTCTTTCTGACGCCATGACCAAAATAGTAACTGGTTGCCTGTAGCGATTAGCAGCACCATATCTGTTGGGTGAAATGCAAGCGATGTGACATTTTGGCAACTAAGTGAGCCGACCAATTTACCATCCCCTTGTGTTAAATCCCATACGTTTACAACACCTTTTAAACAACCTGATGCTAGCAAATGAGGATTCGAAGGGTGAAAAACCAGACACCACACTGAACGAGGGTGGCCTTTTAAAATATGCAAACAGCGAGCAGATTTGACCTCGCTTATCCGCACGAAGTGGTCCCCATGACTTGAGGCAACTGTTTCTCCATCAGGACTAAAAGCAAGAAAATAAGTACTGACTGGAGATCCCGGAAACTTGCAAGAAACAGCCCGACGAGTACGAGTGGTTTGGCACACGCCATATTGTAGAATTGTGCGCTGTTCTTCATACGAAAGCCGGCATTGTTGCCGCCTCAGTAAACACCAGGTAATATTCGATTTACAAGCATTACTCCGCGACTTCCAAGGACACATTTTACCAAATATGTTCGCCAAACAAACACGAAATATCTTTTAAATTTTTTTCTAAAAAAAGCCACGGCAACGGTCTACCCGCGAGGCAGCACACCCGAAAAGCGGGCTAGACGTAACTTGAATAGTTGAATGTATAAAATAGCTAATTCAAAATGTATTTAAAATTCCATTTCAAAATTCTCGCAGTTTTATTTTACATCAAATTAAAGAAATTAAGGTTTTAAATGATATAAAAAAATCTAAAACGCCGAAAGGTGCATGAGGGGAAAAAAATGCCTGTGAAAAAGGTAATTCGACCCCGGCAGGATTCGAACCTGCAATCTTCTGATCCGAAGTCAGACGCCTTATCCATTAGGCCACGAGGCCGCCACGTTTAAGCGTTCTTTTTACATTTATTTAAAGTTACATTATCAGGGTTTATGTGATCATTATACCTTTCTAAGTTTTTATATTTTTTGATATATGAAGTATTTGTCCCAGTTAAAGGGGCGGGCCCCAAAATTTGCAAAAGGGGGACACCAAAAAGTGTAATTAAAAAAATTATTTGGAACGTTTTTTTAGTCAAAAATTATTTGGAACGTTTTTAATAAAAAATTATTTGGAACGTTTTTTAGTCAAAAATTATTTGGAACGTTTTATAAATAGCCTGTGTCACGGACTTTACTATTAAACTGTAAGGTCTGTGATACAGGCTATAGTCAGCGCTAAATCAGGGGTAAATCACAGTGGAAATTTCGAGCAGTTTCGCAATTTCTCCTGGTTAGGTTAGATCTACTCTAGATCTACTCTAGATCTACTCTAGATCTAATATAAATACATATAGGGGCGGACCATCAGAAATCACGGGAGGGAGGGGTAAAAATTCCCCCCAAAAATTCGTGCAAAGAAAAATACCTGGAAAAAAATTCGTGCAACCATTACGTCAAAGAAAAAAACGTGCAAGCAAACAGCAAAGTGCAAATAGTGTTGAAAAATTCTTGCAGAGGTTAAAATGCATAAAAAAAACTCCTGCAGAGACATGAGACTGAAAAAAAATTCATGCCGCGAAAATTTTATAACCCCCCCCCCCTCCTAACTGATATGCACTCACAATTTCCAACTACAAAAGCCCCGGCCTCATCAAATTAGTTCTATCGAGTGAATGCCCAAAATCCTGATATAAAATAAGTCCAATGCGTACATTTGGTGAGCCATTTAACCGCATGGCCCACCAAGGCCAGGCAGTTCAATGGGTAGAGGCAGGGCCTCTCAGGGTGGGGGGGAGACAAAGGGGGCAATTTTCCACGAGTCCCAGTTAAAGGGCCCCCTAAATTTGCAAAAGGGGGTCACAAAAAGTGTAAGTAAAAAAATTATTTGGAACGTTTTTTATATAAATAATGCCTAATGGTATGAGAAAATCATTTTAGACCCTAATCTTACTGGTATTTGGTCCGAAAAAATGTATTTACCCGTGTTTTTACAGGTATTTGTGTGGAAAATACCCAGGGCCCCCGAATTTCTCTGCGAGGCACTGGGTAGAAGGCAGACTAAAAATAACCTACCCCCCCCCCAATAATTTGCAAACTAGCGATAATCTGTGAAGTTTGAGAGGGAAATGACCTGATAATCGTCCCTGACTAATCAGCCCCCTCCCCCCAATACAATATTGCTTCCTATGGCAGTGCTACGTACGGCCAAGTGGGCCAATCCAAGATCAGTGGCTCAACCTCGTACCATGCAGTATTGCAGGACACAGGTTGAGTCAGCCAAAAAAGCATAATCGCTGGCAAAAATGTCTTGGGGGATCACTTTCTATGGGACACATTAGGGACATATAGGATTAGGTTAGGATTGCTAACCTAACCCCATATGTTATATGCTGACATATATTGGATTGTTAATTTGGCAAATCGCACAACAACAAATGATGACAAATAAAGGAGTGATTCAGACTTGTTGCCGTCTATTTTCTCGGTGCGGTTTGCCACCCATTCTGGCCATTCACAAATGAATACGTCTTAAATCAATATTTATTCTTGTATTATAAAATCAGTTTTACAAGGAGGACGTCGTACAGTCATGTACGTCGATTAAACCAACACCTTTTCTCGATGGTCAGGATGGTGGTTTATGATAAATGTATTTTAGTATCAATTTTGCACTAGTTACTTGAGTAGCAAATCTGACGCTGTATACGCGCCGGTTTCAACCATAGAGCTAGTCTTTAGAGAGCTTCAGGGCACAATTCTATTTTGCCTTCATCTTGTTAAAGCCCTGGGCAAACTAGGAAACATTGTTGCGGAAACTCGATGTTTCCTCAAATGTTTCCATATTTGCCCACCGGTGCAAACATTGTTGCGGAAACAAAATTTGCTTTTTGGGAAGCAAAAATGTTTCCGACGAAATTCAGAAACATTTGATGTTTCCCTATGTTTCTCACTAATGTTTCCTAGTGTTTGCCCACTCTGGGAAAAATGGCGAATCATTGGCAGGAAACAATGTTGCCGCAACAATGTTTCCTAGTTTGCCTGGGGCTTAAGGCTAGTAAGTGCATTTCTGTATGTTGGCATCGTTCAATTGTCTTGTGGGCTCCTGTCAACACGTTTTTCTTCGATTTTCCTATTAAACTCCAATCTCGTTAAAAACGTGAAAGTAAAAACTACATATAAGACATTTAAACGGTTACCTTGACTTTTCAAACGGCGTTCGAGTTATTGCTGTTCCAAAGTGTGAAAAATAGGCCAAAACGTGCACAAATCCTGGGCATTAGTCTGAGAACACGTTTTCAAAAGCTCATAACTCAAGAAGAAGTTGAAATTTTAAATGTCTTATATGAAATTTTTGTGAGCCTTCTAATGCTGCAAGTTATTGTTTCTATATTAAATGAACCTGAAATTTCACGTGTTTAACAATATAGGAGTTGAATAGGAAAGTCGAAGAAAAGGAGCCCACAAGAAATTTGAGTGCCGCCAACATACAGAAATGTACTTACAAGCCTTAAAACACAAGATGAAGACAAAATGGAATTGTTCCCCGAAATGGTGAGTTTCTGTGGGGTGGCGGCTTTGTTGTCAATCTCTTTGAATAGTTTTTGGCGTAACCACTTGAAATTTGTCTTTGAAACAAACGTGCAGTATTCAGTAACCGATGCGTATAATTTGGTATAAAATTAACATTTTATAATTGTGTATCAAGCATCCTGTTTTAAGGTTTAAAACATAGGAGACTTGTCTGTTTAAGAAGTGATGCTACAGTATTTCCATGTATTCCTTCCATAGTCGTATGTATATATACTTAACAAAGTTTCGAAAATTCGAACAAGGAGTCTTCCTCAACTAGAAATTTGACTACTCTGTTTCAGCTGTAGTACTCGTCCGTTGTTTTGCCTTACGTACACGTTCGCGCCAGTCCCCAGTAATCTTTTGAAAATTTGGATTGTCTGCAGCTAGTCCGCTATAAAAAGAAATATTTATCTTGAGAAAACCACAACTGTATCAAAATATATGGAAAAAATTAATCACATATTTTACGATCAACACGAATAGCAGTGGCGGCGGAAGATTTTGAAGGGCTAAAGTGCAAATACTACTCTACACACGACACGCAAAACTGTCACAGCAGTAGTATAAGAAGATATTTAAAGTTAGGTGGCATGGGGCCATGCTCTCTCGGAAAAAAAATTAAAGAATGGAGGCTCGCAAATGCCATTCCCTGCACTTTGTGTACAACAAAGTATACTGGGTTGGATGACTTGGTGGGGCCTAAAATCGCCAGCAATGTAGATATAGTTAAATACCTGGCGATGGAAAAATTTCTATGGAAAAATATTACGTGAAAATTATTACGTGTGAAAATTATTACGGGCGCTGAATATTCCCAGTTTAAATTCACTTAAGGAATATTTCATTGACCACAATGTTTGAAATTTGGTTCACTTTGCCTTTTAGGCAGCAATCAAGGTCTTTATTTTTGGGGAGGGGCTACTTCTGGGGGGAGGGCTATAGACCCCTAGTCACCCATATTCAGTCATTTAGCGCCTAGACACTAGGAATAAACATGCAATAACATAATCCTTTTGTGAGTTATGATTTCACAGTGTATATGTTTCATGGGGCATATCTAGTTGCTCCACGTCATTAGAGAGCAAGCGACGTTTTCGATTCACGAACACCCACCGGAAGTAAAAAAGCCGTAATAGATGGCGACAGTTGTGACAATCTAACGGATGTGGACTAAAAATGGACAACCTAAAACCAACTGTATAAAAATGAGTTAGACGCATCTACTCGAACAAGAACGCATACGAAACGGCATTACTTCATACTTACAGAATGTCAAAATTGCGTTAGGGAGATTATTTATAGAGAAAATAAAGATAGAAATGTCAGATGGAGTAAACATGGCTTTGGACAAGTCTAAAAAATCACGATCTCTCATGTAGAAACCACTGTGGAGATACACAATATATTTGTGTGCCCACAATGTTCATACCGATGCCATAAGTCATTATTTGGAGACGAAACATTTTCTCACATGATGGTAATATGTTACCAACACACGAAAAGAATATATTTCCAATTGCGAGTAGCAATTTCAAGGCCATCTCCTGACTCCTGTCAATGACAGTCGTACAAACTTAACAAATTTTCATTCAGGTTCATTGGACTTCTCTTGGCCACTGCATGATAATAATCTAAACCATCCAGAAAAGGCATTTTCTCTATACGAAAGAATTTTGCACATTTTGGCCGTTATTCCAAAGATTATTTGGGTTAATTAATTGTAGGCTAAAAGTGCTGATTCCAGGATTGCAGCCTCTTAACAAAAAATGTGTCGAGTAAACAAGCTTTCACTTAAACTTTTACAGGCAACGTTTGCCAGGTACTAAAGGCTGTACAGTGTGCTGTTCACATTTTTAATCCCCACCCATTATTTCAATCACGAACTGCTAACACAATGTACGCTTGAGTTTCGTGTTGTCAAAAACGTTGCTTGCTTAAGCTCTTTTTTGTTTATCTGATCCACTATAAAATAAAAAATAAAGAATTGCTAAAATTACTAGTAAATACCTTGTGATCTGTTCTTGTCGCCATTGCTCTATCTGTGCTTCATTCTTGGCGGCATAATCCTCCTCATCACTTTCATCTTCAGAAAGTACCTCCTCTTGTCTTTTGATTGCTTGCCATTTCTGTACTAATGACGACATCTGCTTTACTTTGGACGTCCGAATAGGGACAGAAGAAGACTTGGACTACAGGAAAAATCAGTTGGGAAAATATGAATGAAAAGTGGGTTTTTTGGATAAGCATTTAATTTTTGGTCCGTTCCGATGTTATGTAACCTACAAATATTTAACCACAGTTCGCGAATTCGATTCCCACCGCAAGCAAACTTTTCAGCCTGCGAGGTGTGGACACACTCAGAAACAACATCACAAACATACTGAGGTCTGACACGGTGTGTTTACATTAGATATGTAGCCTAAGTCTTACAAGTTGGAAAATGATATATAGATGCAAAATGAAATAGACCAAAATGGAGAGTCTCGATATTCAACTTAAATATGCATGAAGTATAGAACTATAAACTTAACAAATACTTAAGTTCGTGTAAATCCTCCACTACAACTGCCTCTAAGTAAGCCTCAGCCCGATAAGCATTGTAACTTGAGAAGAAATGTATTAATCCCCCACTCTAATAGAAAAATTTATTAATCAAAATGCCCCCCACCTATCCTCAATCTGTATTATATTATCAAACAATCTTCAGGGGGTGGAACTGACTGGGTCTGTAATATAGCAAAAACACTACAATCAATCAATGCTACTGAACCTTTTTCTTCTTTTGTTTAGTAGTTGTTTGCATAGGAGTAGGAGATGATCTTGAACTACTACTAGCTTGCACCTAAACGGAAATGAACGTATTTGAATTAAAATAATTCCACATGTGCATACGACACGAAGCTGTTAGACGAATGATTTCTTGAACTGTAGAGTAAGGCATGTTGTAGACGTCGAATTTCCGACGTTGAATTTAATGCCACAGAACTGTGTTCGATGAAAGTTCGAAGTCAATTTCTGTCAATTACCCGACAAATATTTGAACAACATCGCACTTTTAAATGTGTGACTGTGTCAGTGGCTGCGTCGAAAAACACCATTCAAAACACCCATTTCTCTCGAATTAAAAATCAGCAGCAATAAATTCAACCGATTATATTCGACGTAATTCGACGTCTAAACAGGCCAAACTTGTTTAAATTTTTATTTCCATTTTTCGTTTTCAAGATGTTCCGTCCTTTAATATTAATGTAACCAACATTATATTGACGTCCTGTAGATAATGGCTCAATTTTCTCCTTCAAAGCCCCTTTCACCTCGCTGCGGACGCACTCATGACACTTATGTCAAAAGAGTCAGTCTAAGTTCTACCGTAAGTCGTAGGGTTTTTTCCAGGCACTCTGGTTTCCTCCCACAGGAAATGGTGACAGGGTAGGTTTGGATAAGCTCTAAAACCGACCCTTCCAGCGTGGTTTAAACAGGGTTCGAAATAACGGTTCGTGATTCGTGAATCACGAATCATTTTTCACGAACCCAATTTCATAGAAATTGGTCAAAATCACGAATCAAAAGTGTCTCAAATTGATAAAAAGATACAATAATAAATTCATTTCTTTGTAAATGTGATGAAGGATCATATATTCTGAAGATATTATTGTTAGATTGCACTTAAAAACGATTATTATTCCACCCAAAATTCTATTTTTTGCGAGTTTGCGATGTATTTGAAAATTGCAGTGCTTCAACTTTTTAACTTCCAATTAGAGAAAATTCCTTGAAAATTCCTTAACATTTCCTTAAAATAAAAAAATTAATTCACGAACCATTTTTTCAGAATTAATTCGAACCCTGGGTTATGCTCCATGATCAGATACATGAGCATAGATATCTTATATACACTAGATAGGGCATCTCTTTTAGTAAAATTGAAGCTAAGAATATTCCAGCGGTTACCCCCATTAGAATAGATGGCGGCCATGTTGGTAGTTTCCACTCGCTAATAAACGCTTAAAAAACAACAATAACTTTCATCATTTGAATAGTTTAAACATGTATTTGGAATAGGTTTAACTTAATGTTTAAGTTCCCTGTTTAAGAAATAGAAAACATACGAATCTTCTCATTTCATGGGAATATCCTAATTCTGCAATCACGGCTTCAATTTTTGAATTGCAGAATAATTAGATGCACTATCTAGTGTATATAAGATATCTATGGATATGAGTCATCAGGTGGCTGCCAGCTAGAGCTGCGTCCTTCGCAATACAACTTAGCTCTTAGCTGCAAGTACGGCTGATTGGTAAACCCCCTACTTACACTACCGTATAATGAAAGTTTTATGCTATTATTGAACGAAATTATTTAAGGACCAGCATCATTGATGCTGCACGAGAAACAAACGCACATTCGCTCGAAGTAATTCGCTTAATATGAACAAATATATAAAACATTCACTGGTGCCTCATTACTGGTATTCATCAGGCTTTCTGGCATCCTTGTGTAGAAAAGTAGGACAAAAGTAGGACTAGAATTTTTGAAAAAGTAGGAATAAAGTAGGAAAATGTGTAGAAAAGTAGGACAAAAGTAGGACAAAAGTAGGAGTTTTGGAGATGCAAATAACACAATTGTGTACATTTTTTGTGCTCAATATTTTTATGTACTCATTCACCTATGCAGCATTTTTTTCTCAAAACTTTTAAATTGCATCGGTATAAAAGCTAAGGCATTTGCTCCGCAGCAACACAATTCAAATGCATGTATTGGGCTACACAATGCACCAATCCACACTGCGGCAGTAGCACATATCAGAGCCGTAAGAAGCTCTTTTCGATTGTGGGAGGGGGGCTGAAAGTGAGGGCCGAAGGCCCGAGGAAATTTTTAAATTTAGAATCTCTGAAATGCCATTTCCTGGACTTTGGGGAAGATTTGACAGAATTCTAATGGTCAAAAAACAGCGTTTTAGCATGTCAAAATTTACAATTTAGTAGTACTAAATGGGCAAAGGCGTATTTAATTAACTAAAAATTGGATAAGTTCCAGGAAAGTATGGGTAATATCTTCATTCTTTGCAGTTTGTCATGGATTAAATGATAAAGGTCTGCATCAGGATTTTGAAAAAAATGATTATTAGCAAATTATTGGGGGGCCCCCCCCGGTTGCTATGGCCCTGTATATATGATGCTTGATTAACTGAGGAGGGAGTTGAATATTTGGAATCTCTAGATCGTTAGAAATGGCACTTTCGGAGTCTTCATTAATTTATTGATTATGATTCTAGAAATGCTATGAAATTTTATACTCGGAAAATGCACTTCTCCTCCTGAGATCTTATCATCTGGGACACAAATAGGGAATAAAAATTACGGGTACTATAGATGTAATTACGAGAGCTATAACATACTGATTCCCCAAGCTGTCTTAAAAAAAGTAGGATTTTATGCGAAAAAGTGGGAAAAGGTAGGAAAATCAAGCAATTTTTAATAAAAAATAGGAAAAGTAGGAAAGTTGAAGAAAAGTAGGAAAAAGTAGGATGGCAAGAAAGCCTGATTCATGGATAACGTCAATTACAGAAAACGGAATATCTCATGAACGAAACATGAAAATAGAAATCTTTATAAAAGAAGTTACTTCACAGAAGTTACTTCAAAACTATTAAACAGTTTCGGGTCGTAACAATGTAAACATTTATAGATGATGGAGGAAATATGCCACTCACTAAGAAAGAGTAGTGTGAAATATATTTTATTGTAAACTAAAGAAATACTTACGAAGTACTTATAAATTAGGATGAGAGCTAGTCACACCTTTGACGGCTAGAATTTTTTGTCAAGTGTATCAAATGCAAAAGGTGTATTAAAAATTTTAAAATAGCCCTTAATCGGAAGCGAAGGGGTAAAATTTTCTGGGAAAATATGGCTTGGGAGAATTTTGTAAGGAAATATATGATGTAAGGATATCAGGTTTTCACCACGACAGTGTCGAAAGATATCGGCCAAATATAGGGCAAATACAGTATATCAGAACACAAACCCTTACATGGGTATTTGGTAGTGGACCATCCAGGTCTGAATAATCTATCAAAGGTCGTTGGATCACACCATGTTTGATGCTTCCTGTGTCCACTTGTTCATCTCTACAGATATAAAAAGCAAGTTTAAGTACGAATTGACACTTGGAATGATAGCTAACCAAGTGTGTAACAAAGCAGTGCCAATAATTTTCCAAACATGAAAGCATTATAGTCCAGCGGATATGCACAGATATTTGAGAAAATCATGCACTTTGTGAAGAAAGCACCAAATACACAGAAGTGTAGACTTTAACATGATAATGAATCTTAGATATGGAGGCATCACCAAAATTGATGCTGATGGCTTAAAATTTAGGATTTCTTATATTCTCTTATTAATCTCTTATACAATTAAAAAATGTGAAATTGCTGGTTCACATGTAGCAAAAATGACATGCGTCATTAGAAAGCTCACAAAAAACTGCATATCAGAGATTTAAGCAGTTAGAGAACCTGCAATTTCACAATTTTAAACAGTACTAGAGTTTAATAAGAGAATATAAGAAATCCTAAATTTTAAGCCGTCAGCATCAATTTTGGTGATGCCTCCATATCTAAGATTCATTATCATGTTAAAGTCTACACTTCCTGTGAATTGGGTGCTTTCTTCACAAAGTGCATGATTTTTTACTTTTCCGCCGGACTATTAATACGCTATAACTTAAGCTATAGATTGCTTAACTTTGAGGCAAAAATGTTTACAGAACAGAAGATTTCCAGCTACAAGTCGCATGGTGGCAATCTAATAGCCTACCACGCACAATATTCTTGTACTTCTCTACCGCCAAGTGTCCGCCACTGCGAATAATGCATAAAAATGCCAAGTTTTGAGATTAGTGGTCGTAACTTACTGGTTGGATGATTTCTCCGAGACACTGGGAACAACTGGAGGAGGTAGAGGAGGTGGGTCCTGTGGGGGAGGTGGAGGAGGTATCGTTTGCACATCTGTAGGAGGGGGAGGAGGTGGAGACAATCCTGGAGGAGGGGGTGCTGGCTCTACATAACGAACAAACATAAAATATCACAAAGGAAAAAAATTAAACGAAAGTTTAAGACTGTTGAGCCTATATGTTTTTATGGATATTGTTTTTCATGTTTTCCATTGAAACTGTTTATTGTCTTAAAAAAAGAAGCCTGAATATCTTCTTTTATAGATTTTTATTTCCATGTTTTATTGTTGAGATACTTCATTTTCTTTAAAAATACAATGCAACCAACTTGACGTCATATACCATACATAAATAATGAAGAATAATTGAATATTTTATTTCTTCGATTGCACTTGACGAAATTACATAGAACAAGCAGCGCGTATTTATTTTTCCTACATGCAGTATTAATCTAATTGATGCTTAGTCAATTTCGTTTCATAAGAAATATATAAAACATGCAATAATATCTCATCATATATGTACATGACGCCAATATCGAAATATTGCAATGTACATGACGGCAATATCGAGATTTTTAAAGAATACGGAATATCTCAACAATGAAATATGGAAATAAAAATCTATATAAAGGAGATACTCTGCAGTTCTTTCGTCTAAGACAATAAACAGTTTCGTGTATGCACTTTATAAAGAACATTTTTCTTGATCACTGTAACGCCAACTCTCATCGACGCTGAAGATATGATGGTCTGGAAGCCGGGTAAACTACAAACGACCTTTGTTTGATTTTCAACTGTATACCTCACCATCCACAAATTCCTTGTCTTAACTTCATTAAGTATTACTCATCGTGGTTGCATCTCAACTATCCCTACTGGACAATTACTTCATCATACGAAAGTACAATGAGCTCATGCAATCACCGCGACCGTGCACAAATTAACATAAACTCCGCGACAAAAACATAATACTATGACTTTAGTTTTCAGACCATCATACCTTGATGGACTATGCACTCATCAAGTTTGGGCTAATAAGCGAGTTCAAATTTTCCCTACGCGCGTGGTAATATAAAGTGAACACTTATCAACTCTCACGCAACTGAAAATGAAGAAATTAAATGTCTTGTATTAATGAAACTCTAGGTCTATATAAAGAGTTATAAAAATTTAAGTCTGCATCTAAAATACTCAAGTCGAGTGTGGATATATGAATGAATGCATGTGCAGGCAGCTATTACGAAGAACCAGACACAGTACTGAAATGCGGTGCCTACAATAAAACTTTTCGACTCCAAGTAAAGTTTAGATTTAGTTCTGTCGCCTGGCAGTTGGTCCGTACGCTAGTATTAACACTTGGCTTTAAAACCTTCAAAATAAAACATGTTGGGCAAAATAAAGAGAAAGGTGACACGAATCCACTGGTATACAGCTGAAAATAGAAAACGAACGATACGAAAGTCATAAGGATCAAACGTACTGAATTTTTAATTAGTTAAATAATTTGAGCAATTTGTCAGCAATACAGTTTCGCTTGTCTTTCAAAAGCATGATTTCGAACAGTGGTATTTTTGTTCCAGAACCAGAGATAAGGCGCAGCAAAAAGTAGGTTGTGAGAGTTTAATCGGAAAGGAAATTTTTCCGCAAAAAAGGAAATTCAGAAAACGTTATGGAAAAATTTGATTGCAAACAAACTAACAAACTAACTAACAAACTCAAGGGCAGATATAAACAATATAAACACCGCAATACAAAAATATTTTTATTTACTTTACATACCGTGTTCTATATTATTCTCAGATGCAGGGGGGCTGTCATCATCCAACCTGTATGGATCTAAAAATAAAACACTTTCTTAGACACGATCTATTTGTTTTAGGCTTACGTAATGTTTGTAAAACACATTAATAGCGTGCTTAAGCAAAATTGGTATAACTAGGGGGAGGGTGCAGGTACCAACTCTTGAACGCCGTTCAAGGTTTTCGGTGGCAAATGTTCAAAATATCCAATTTTGCGCTAGCTTTACAAAATTTGCGAACTTCACAGGGCTATATTTTCCTCATTTTACAACATTTCGCAACCAAACTTTGCAATTTTACTCATTTTAAGATGCTTTTTTCCAGCTATGGTGATGGATTTCGTCCTTCTTGTCTAGATCAACATTTCGTCTATATATACCTGCAATCATCTATTGTTGCAAAAGGCCAATTTTCGAAACCAGCGCCCTCGAATTCACTGATTTAATGAATTCCGTTTTTGATGGACTTATCCCCTACTTTCCACTTGGCATAATGTAAATGATTAAAGTTTACCTTTTGTGACGTCTGTTGGAGCGGTATCTTGGGACGGCTGGAAGACTGGATATACGGTAGCAGTGTTAGGATCTGGATCAACGGAACTTGTTAACATACTGTAGTTTGTTTTACTCACGACGGGTACCAAGCTGGCGATTTCTGTTAAAATGATAAAATATACTCATTGTACAGAGTGTTTAAAAAAGTAATTCAACTTTATCATGTTTGCGTACGTTAGATATAGAGTTATCGATAAAAAATTTTACACAGCAGTAAAATTCAGCGTTTTTGCTGCATAATGCTACCTTTTTGTATCATTACACAGGAAAATGCCCAAATACGAATAGAATAAACATTGGCGGTCGAAACCGCATTTTTCCACCGTTGGAAAACTACATATTGAAAATAAATCCAATTTGGATCTGAAATTCCATGAATTTCACAAGTCATAACATGTTGTCACTTCTTTTTTAAGCATACTGTTTGACAAGACATGTACATTTTACTACATTATAGTGATTAATTGCTGTTTCTTTATGTACTGCTTCGATTATGCACGAAGGCCGAAAACGACCGGCAATATTTAGTGCGCTGGTACTTGGTCATTTTTGCTTCAAATGATACAGGTGTCATTCAAAAGGTACAACACTAATCTTTATTAACAAGAAAAAAAAACTAATTTTGAACACACAAGAGCATGCTAAAATTGGATTACCTTTTTTATACAGACCTTGTATACTTAAAGTGCATATGACATTTAAGCTGTGGTGTAACTTATTTTTCAGTTTCTTGTTTTTATGGTTTGTTCCAGAGATATTTCAATATTTTGATATGTAAATGAATGTGGATATGTCCGCTAATTTATGACGTCACTTTGGTTGCAAGCTCAACCTACACTGGTTATAAATCTATTAACTCGAAAACTGTAGATATCAGTTCACGTTTTTCTTCAGTATTTCATCACATTTACCAGTGAGTGAAGTTTGAGATTATCATCTTGGATGATAGCAATGATATTCAACCATTTTGAAGAGCTTGCAACCAAAGTGACGTCATAAATTAACGGACATATTCACATCATTTACATATCAAACAAATTGAAATATCTTGGGAAAAACCCATAAAAACAAGAAAATAAGAAATTTCATGTCATATGCACTTTAATAAATAAGCTTTACATTAGGGCGACAATAGGGGCCAGTTCAACCATTCCAACATGTTATAAGTTTTATTTGTGTGTATGCCTCTATTTATAAAGAATTATGCTGGGCTCCGATTGTCATTATAAGGAAAAGAAAATTGCTTGACCAGTTTGGGTCTGTTTGAACGGTATATTTGGTAATGGTGGCTGACGCTGGAAGATGCTTGATTAGGTTTGATCTTATTGAAAATTATCATCCGACCTCACCCAACATGGTCGGCAACGTTGGACGATATGTTGGAATACTTTCAATGGGTATTACTCAATGCAATGCAATGCAATTAAATACAGTACAATACAGTATGTTGGAATGATTTCAACGGGCATTACTACAGTACAGTACAGTACAGCACAGTATACAGTACAAAATACAAGAAATAAAAAGAGAAGACAGTATACAAGGCAATGCAAGACAGTGGGATGCATTGCAAAGCAGCTGCAAAGCAACAGAAGGTACCACCAAAACAATCTAATGGAATGCAATGTATTCTGATGATACTGGTGAAAATCATGGATTTAAACATGCCTACCTTGACGGACATTCGTTGGAACAATAATTGGAGATTGTGTTACAACTGGATATGCAGCTGTATTTGCGACGTTCGAAGCATAGAAGTGACTGTCGAAAGAAGGTTTTAATGAAGACGTGGTTTCTTTGGTAACGGACGTTTCTAAGAAATAAGACGTAATTATTAGCTATCTTGCGTATTCCATGTGATTTCGTTAAATATAAGTTATGAAATAAAATATTTACTGATGCCTCAATACCGAAAAGAAAAGGGTTGGGTAAACGAAATTTTGAGTAAGTAAAAGGTTGGGTAAATGAGTCACAGAAATATTGGAGACTAAAAAGCAATGTCAACAGTAGCTCAGTCATATGCCAATACAATACAGTATGTGAATCAATCAGAGTCACTATCTTGATCATTTTCCGATATGTTGGGAGACAAATGGTGTCTTTCATAAGCCGTTATCATTTCACAAGCCGTTATCAAACTCATTTCACAGAAGTGGTAAAGGACATGTGTGACACTGAATGGTATCCGTTTGTAAAGTTTTTGGCCAGGGGTGGGTATTTATTTTTAAATTGATATTTGAGGTTGGGTAATCAAATTTTTGACTTTTTAATGATTGGGTCAGCAAAATTTTTGCCACGAAAACATTTCTCTCCAGTGCCCCCATAAATAATGACCGGTTCCTTACGAGTTAGATTGAGCTTTTTGAAAAAATGCTACTTGTCAGAAAAGAATGTACGACTTGTATAAATCAACATTCTGGGGGTGGGAAACTGGTTACAAAAGTTGCGTTACTGGTGTTGCCATAGTAACAATTAATGACGATTCAATCTTTACAACTTTAAAAGTTCCATCAACATATAAGATAAAGAAACAATGTCGAGTCAATGCACTTCACGGTCAAATTCAAAATACATGCAGAAACGTTCCCACTTCCGAAGTTATTTTCTGTAATTTGTGCGGTTACCGATTTATGCGCAAATATCGTGATAAAATTCAAATTTCGCAGTTTTTATCATTGGAAAAAAATAGTGAAATACATACAATGGAATTTGCAATTGCACCACTAATTGCAAGTAGTATGAAAACTGGATTTCCATACTATTTCCAACGAAGATCCATCTATTTCCATAGTAAGGATTTGGAAAAGAATTCCAGTGTATTTGCTAAAATACAGCGTCTAACGAAAAATGCATCATTTGCTAAAGTTATCATATAAAAAACAAAGAAAACTAAAATTGTTCGCCGTATTTGCTCATAATTTGGTAACAGCTACACAAAAACAAAGCAAAACATAATACTACAATGAGGTGCCCTAGAACATACGCAAAAAGGGTGTACCGCAATATTTTTCTTCCTGGCAGCAAAATCCAAAAAATAAAGATTTCCTGTGTAAACAAAATGTAACACATTCTGCGGAGCTAGGTTTTAGATAGTGTGCTGTACTACTACAGCATCGATCTCCACACACGACAATTTGATTTCAAAAATACATTTGGAATTTTTAATCAACAAGCAAATTGCATGGCATTTCAATATATAAGATGACAAAAACTTCTTGCTGGATGTAAGAAAATATTTTATTAAAAATTTCCTGGCAACCACGAAGACACAGTATTTTTGAATAACAACCTCACAAACTAACAGAATAGCAAACTCACGCAGCGAATATAAAGCGACACCAAACTTTGTTTATAGGCACCGTAATTACAATAGACTATACAGAAGCGGAAAGGTTCTTGTATTTTGACTGTAAAATATTTATTATAGAGAAATTAACATACCCCATGATCCTATTGCATCACTATTATCTGGCGCAGATACCATCTTCTGTTTTTCCACTGATGAAGAATCATTCGAGGTTTGAGGGTAATCCCATTGCGATTCTCCAGTTTTGCCCTTTGTGTAGAAATACCTCTTGTAAGTGCTGGCAAAAGAGAAAAAAAAAACAAAAGAAAAAATTAGTAACTGCGGACAGACTGGAGAAAAAAACAAAGAAAATATACAATAATAATACATATAGAAACAAATATATAATATTAACACATATAGCAATTAACTAATCTAACAAATGTCATAGCTGGATAAGAAAATTGAAGATAACCTATGCATTATATGCCCATGGGGATGTTGAATTCCTTTGAAGCTGGTAAGTTTCAATCGAATTCAAATCCAACTCGGTACAGCATAAAAGTATGATCCAACTATATTCCAGCTAATAACTTTTGATCTGTTCAAACTGGCATAAACGATATCTATAAATCAGGGGCCTGTTGCATGAAGGCTAAGCAGCGTTATCCATTGGATATTATTTATCAGGTGGATAGCGCTATCCGTCCTTCGTAAAACCGACCCAAGTTGATTACACCTTCAAAATATGAATCGAAGCAACAGGCCATTTTTGAATTGCAAAAAAGTCAGGTAAAAGTTCCATGCTAAATTATTTTAATAATTTTGATTCTCATAATTTTGATTCTCATAAAGAATCATAATTTTGCGTCGTTCTCAGAATTTTAACCGTAATTCTAAAATGGCCCATTCCCCGATTCTTACCGGAATTTTGCAAAGGTGTCAACTCTAAACTTCTCTGAGGAAAATAACTAAACTGAATACTTTGTACATGTACACTACCTGGCTGTATATCTATTACAAAAATCTAAAGCAATATTTCAGTGTTGACAATATATAGCATATACTTACACCCAAATTTACCTTTCTCCGTATTTTTTGTTCCAACGTCCACAACGGTCACGTAATAGAAAAACTCCTCCACTTATCTTACCTGGATTTATTGTACTTGTTACCATAAAAAATATTCTTTGATGCGGTGAATGTTAAATTAAACACCAGCAAAAGCTTCTAAAAATCCCTTAGCCCGGGCTTATAAAGATTTCAACGTGGCTTGTGTTGTATGCACTCTTAAAACACTCTGGTTCAAATTTCCTGGTTTGGGGAACGGTCATTATTTATGGTGGGGGGGGGCAACGAAGGGGAAAAGGTTGGGTAAACAAAATTTTGAGTGAGAAAAGTTTGGGTAATAAAAATTTATCGTCCTTTCCAAAACATGACTCACTTAAGGTTACTTCACGCTTCACATGATGAACGTGCGTTTTAGTCTATTGAACATGGCTCAACGAATTTTAGGCGTAACTTTACCAAATTTTTAGTGAAGAAAGCCAAGAAAATGCTGATTTCAAAAATCTTCATTTGAAGGGTGTTTTGTTTAAACATGTCCAGTATTGGCTGACTAAAGAGATATATAGGTATCCCATAAAAAAATCAAAATATGTTCATAGTTTACCTCAACGTTTGTCTACATATCTCGATTTGAATCCTCATAGGTACGGTTAAAAAAATGTGTGCGGAAAATTTCTCTTCTTCAATAGTTTTTCTGATACGACCTGGTTCTTTTGACAACTTCGTGAATTATCAGTGACAAATCCAAGAATTAGGGCATATCAGAAAAACCACTAAAGAAGAGAAATTTTCCGCACACCTTTTTTTTCCGTGCCTATGAAGATTCGTATTGCGATATCTAGACAAACGTTGAGGTAAACTATAAACATGTTTGATTTTTTTATGAAAGTACCTTTATATATATATATATATATATTTAGTCAGCCAATACTGAAAATGTTTAAACTGAACACCCATCAAATGAAAATATTTGAAATCAGCATTTTCCTGGCTTTCTTCACTGAAAATTTGGTAAAGTTACACCTAAAATTCGATGCGCAATGTCCAATGGACTAAAACGCACGTTCATCGTGTGAAGTAACCTTAAATATTGAAGACTATATAAAAGCGACGTCAACAGTCATATGTGAAATATCAAGATTTTGTTGGCATCTCACTCGATTGAATAATGATGGAAATTTAACATCTGCAATACCCTTCAACTTTTTGTCAAATACAATATGTAAATCAATCAGAGTCTTGATCATTTTCCGATGTGTCAGGAGGCAAATGGTGTCTTCAAAGTACATGTGCAGACAACATGAAACTTTAGACTGCAGAAAATTGCACAAGCAGTTATCAACCTCATGTCACAGTAGTGGTAAAGGACATGTGTGACAACCGAATGGCATCCTTTTGTAATGTTTTTGGCCAGGGGTGTGTATTTATTTTTTAATTGATATTTGAGGTTGGGTACAAAATTTTTAAACTTTTTTAATGGTTGGACAAACAACTTACATTTTTACCACGAAAAACATTTCTCTTCGGTGCCCCCCCCCCCCCCAAAAAAATGTCTAAAAACTTGCATTGCAAGATGACATGGAGCATTGTACAAGTATATACAAGACTACACAAAAAAGTCATGAAACTTTTGCGATTTTTTGTACTTTGTATTGATAATTTATCTTTGTCTAAGCCCACTTCATACAATGGCACTGAACCATATATATCGACTGCCTTCCATTTCGTAAAAACAACCACTGGAGTGCTGGCGACGCACGCAGCAAGGTGAACAATATAAAAAATAATTCCTTTTGTTCTGCTCGTTTTATCATAAACCCTCTTCATCTCGTTATAAAGAAGCGGATAAAAACTGATCGTACGATTTACAAACGCTTGAAAAGTTAAAGAATGAAAAATTTCCCAGTTTCGACGACATGTCAACTTCTTGGAGATCCAAAAAGATGGTTTTTCTTTGACCTGAAAAATCTCATATGGCAAGAAAGTTGTACGACTCATAGAAGTTGTGTTCAGTCGAATACAGTACCTGTCCCAATGACAGCTCCATCCTTCTGGTACTGCTGATCGTTCATAACTTCTTAAATCCTCGGCTGCTTCACGTAGTTTTTTCACTATATACGTGCCACTGAGACCACCTTCGCGCCAATCTTTGATTCTTGTCTATCCATCGAAAATTAAGAAACAAGGATTACGGTGACAAGCATTGTTATATAGCTAAGGTGAACACCAAATACGATTGGCTGATTTGTGGTCACGTGGCTTTTGATAAATGCAATGTATCCTGCCGGACAACAAATGAAAAATGGAAATACTTAGTTTTGTTTTCCCTCGAATCTCAATCACAGGGGGCCCCACGATGAGTTATGATTGAAATAATATTGTATTTATTTTTAAAAACCTACTTGAATCCCTTGATAATCGATTATTTCTTCTTTCGAAATTCTGTAAACATTTTAAACTGCTTGAATCATTATACATCACTCTACATGAAGTATAGATGATCGCTGACAAGTAAGAACGCGGGCGCAAAAAAACGAAGGCGGCGAAAGAAGGGAGAATTAAACTAAAGGGTTGAAACTTCGACTAGATGACATTTCTAAATGCCTTAAAATTCACAATTTATTTGTGTTTTCGAATATTTTTTTTCAGATTCTATGTCTTTTTGGATATATCTTCACAACCGATGTAGTAGATTCAATAAACGATTGATTTTTCGTATGTTTTTACATGAAACACTCGAAGGGTTTTTTCGCACAATGTGTTCCATAAGTAGGTTGTTCTCGTGACGTCAAGTATAATGAGTCCGAGCCGAGCCATTTAAAAGGTTTACAGAACTTCGAGAGAAGAAATAATGGATGATCAAGGGATTCAAGTACGTTTTTAAAAATAAATACAATATTTTTTCAATCCTAACTCACATTGGGGCCCCGTGCGAAATTTCCGGAGAACAACCTACTTATGGAACACATCAAATGATGACCCGCCGAAGTTTCAACCCTTTAGTTTAATTCTTCCTTCTTTCGCCGCCTTCGTCTTTTTGCGCCCGCGGTCCTTACTTGTCAGCGATCATCTATACTTCGTGAAACGTCATGTAGAGTGATAGTATAATGATTCCAAGCAGTTTAAAATGTTTACAGAATTTCGAGAGAAGAAATAATCGATTATCAAGGGATTCAAGTAGGTTTTTAAAAATAAATACAATATTATTTCAATCATTGTTTTACCTTCCAAAAATTCTACAAATCAAACAATGAGGGCAATTAATGCCGAATTTCAATAGTATGGACACACAAACAGTGAAATATAGTGTCTATCCTGTAAATAAAACACATACGTTAGTATCCACCAACAGCATCTAAATTGATTAATATACATATGAAATATTGAAGCCCCGTTTACACTACGCTCAATTTTTGGTACGGCACGGATAAAATTGGTACCCGTACCACTTTTTTGGTTCTAGGACTACCTATTTAGGTAGTCCGAGAACCAAAAAGTGGTACGGTACCAAAAATTGAGCGTATAAGTATAAACGGGGCTTAGCTAAATAGGTAGTCTAAGAACCAAAAAAGTGGTACGGGTACCAATTTTATCCGTGCCGTACCAAAAATTGAGCGTAGTGTAAACGGGGCTTGAGACTACTACCGTATATTAAATTAAATGCTATAATAAAAGTTCTAATACGATCATTGGTTTGGCTCGTGTATTACTAACAAGGTTCGTACATGGCAGGAAGAATCAAATTCAAGACTTTCCAAGGACATTAAAGATCATGTATCAACAAAGTCAAGGACTAAATACTGAAGAAAGGCGCTAGAAATCAGTAAAACGTGACGTTGATCATGAATTGTTAAAAATGGGCGCAACTTCAAAGAATTCCAAACAGCTTTCTCAGATATGAACATGCAAAATCAATGTCTAATAATTTCAGAAAATATCTATACAAGAAGAATTTAAGAACTTTCAAGTACTTCTTTACAAATGGGACAAGGACATTCAAGGCCTTCAAGGACATTCAAGACTTTGATTTTTTTTTTAATTTAAGGACTTCCCCCC